TTACATGTACGCTGTAAGTTTCTTGTTTCCAATGTACACGTACACAGTTTACGATCTTCATATGTTTCCTGGCTGGTGTCTGGCTTCCCCTCAACTCCCCACAGACGTGTCTTGATATAAAAAATGGAGTCTGCTTAAACCGAAATCTGCGGGATTGCCGGACAGTTTTCGCCTTCGCCATGTTCTGGGAATTTGGTCTAAAGAGATTGTGCAAATAGCAAAGGAAAAAAAATTGGGGATTTTATTTTCTTTCACTTTACCCGCTGTTTTCAGATTAACCATGCAGGGTTTTAGCGGCTTCCATTGTACACCTCTGTTTGTCTCCACAGAAACTTATCACACTAGTCACACCCCCGGTCAAAGGGTTCCTTCCACATGTGACAAAATCTCTCAGAAGACAAAAATCTCCTAGCTCCCAGTTAGTAAAATTATTCTGGAATTTGCCAATGCATATGTCAAAATGAGAACAACAATACAGAATGTGAGATGGGGAGGGGGACAAAGGGGGGGGACAAAGGTACAGAAAAGGCCTCCGAAAGGCCACAGCCAATCAAGCACAATCTCTCTGGACAGCTGTGTTAATCAACAAGAAAATCATCACCTTGTCAGCTGACAATAGTTAACACTCGGTGGACACAACAGAGAGCGTAGACATCTCTCCTGGTACAGTAGACCAACAACAGAGTGGGGTAGACAAAGTGATTGTTCACACTACACTACAAGGGTAGGTTTCTAGTTTGGCATTGGTTGAATCAACAGAGGGTTAAGGGGTTAAATGTGAAGAGAAACATTGAGAACAAGATCCCCGAGCCATGCAGCTCAACGCTCAAATGCTACAATTCTAATCCAGCATTTGCCTGATAGAACTCCATGTTCTAAAAATAGAAGCTTACAATAGCCGATTTCATACGAGACATCCAGCACACAGTTCGGCAAACAAAATACAAGAAATCAAAGCCGAGCTGGATAATCACATGTCGTGATCGAGAGAACCAAATCTATGACAGTCAAGCGCTTAACAGTGGCCCTGAGCACAGGTGTTGTGCGTGGCGGCCGTCACTCCAGGATCTGACCGAGAACAAAGGTCACTACACATAGTGGTCATCCAAACAAGGCCGGACTATCATAAATAATGTTCTCCATAAAAAGGAACGCATGGTTGTGGACTTATAGATTTAAATGTCTTGGGACATACAGGGTGTGTGTGGAAAGGGGGGG